TGACGGCTAGTATGTGGACCGTACTGGACCACAAGGGATCAAGCCATTTCCTGATGCTCTCTTTCAGTCACCTCATCAGTGCCTGCATGTCTGGTGACAGCGGCTTGTCCCAGCCAGAAACATTGATCACCTGGAACTTCTCCATTTAGTTCTGAAGCTCCCTCGCTATAATCACCTGGCTAAGGAGGGCATCGCGAGCACTGAGGGTCTTGGTGGCCTCAAGGAAGGGCTTGAGGACCACCAAGATCTGGGAGATGGTATCCCATTCAGCTCTGTTAAGGGGGCTGCTGATCCCAATCTCCCCGAGCAAAGCCATCTTATGGATGGCCTTCTGTTGCTCCACCAGCCTCTTGAGCATCAGGTATGTGAAGTTCTACCAAGTCTCTACATCCTGCATGATTTTGTGCTGTGAGATGTTCAGCTCTGCCTGTTTGTCCCACAGCATTTCCCACCCCCTTTGGTGCTCCAGTGGAAGTAGCCTGTCACCTTCCTGCATTTGGAAATGAGCTTGCTAGCACTGTCACAGGCAGCCCTGTCCCCCTCCAAGGCATCCTTGACAATGAGGTGGAACTTGTGTGCCACGCAGCGGATGCCAACAAAGTTGGCATCATGGACCATCTTGACCAAATTGGCCCCATTGTCGGTGACCATGAACCTGCGGGTGAGCTCGCCTTGCCCAATGAGCCACCCCTGCACCATGCGGTTCATGGCCCCCATGATCTCTGTTGCCATGTGAGACTCATCCATCACCTGAGCTTGAAGGAGAGCCTACTGACGGCCTGACTGGTCACACCAGTTCCCTGCGAGGGAGAGTTATAAATGATCTCCACCCCGGCTGCTCCAGATGTCCAAGGTGAAGTCTAAGGCCACTTGTGGACCTGCCTTGCGCAGCTCCTCCTTCAAGTACTCCCTGCATGCCTGATACAGAGAGAGCACCACTGTCCTGCTGCAGGTGGAGCCCGCGGGCTCCACCATCCTGCTGAAGGTGGTGCGTGCAGGCACTTGGTATGATGGGGCCACAAACACCATGAGCCACCTGAACCCTAGCCGCTCAACTGAGGAGAAGGGCTGGCCATCCACAGCAAGCATCTCCCCAATGGTCTGGGTGATCTCACTCGCTTTTGCAATGCACCCTGCTTTTTGTCCACCTTTCCTCCACTATTCCAGGGTGGCCTGTGTCTGCCTCAGGGGGACTCTGGCTTTGGAGTGAGAGGGGGGGTCTTCTTTTTGGGCACGCTCCCACTGGTGCCAGGCTGATGAGAAGCATGGGCAAGGGGGTGGCGCTAGCGGAGGTGCATCGGGATCCCCATGATGCTCATGTGTTTTGTTCACTTGCTCCAGCTGGTTTTGGCTCGGCAGAGCAGGCAGATAGCATATGTAGGATCATCTGCCAGCTCACAATGATCCTAGACCACACTACCCACTCACTTCTGGGGTGTGGGTGCATGTGCAGATGCTGCCTTTTCCCCCTCCTCAGCAGGCAGAGGCACAGCAACAGGAGGAGCGGACTCAGCTGAGCCACTTGCCTCTACAACCTCTACCTCAACCTCTTCTGTAGTGCCTTCTGGGGAAGGAGACCTGGCTCTACAGTAAACTTGTGAGGTGTGGAGAACAAACTCAGCTTATTCACCCTCTTTCCCCAGAATTTCCCTTGCTATGGCACTCAGATCCAGATCCAGCTCTTCCTCTGGCACTGGAAGGCTCAGGAGGGGAAGTGAAATGGGGATGGAGGAGACTGTCATGCTGGTGCTGTTGCTTGTCATGGTGGTAGTGGGGGGGCAGGGGTTATGGCTGGTGCTCTTGGAGGGGATGGAGACTCGGGCACAGGCAGTGGCACTGGCACTGCTTCCCTCTCTTTGCTGCCTGTAGAACTAGTGGAAGCCTCATGCCTGCTAGTTGTAGGAAAGAGGCTGCATCTCAGTTGTTGGGGGGACTTACAGCTCTCCCTCTTCCCCCTCTTCTGCCCCTCCCTGAAGGCTTGCCAGCTGCCTTTCCAGCATGCTTCATAGTGTGTTTCTTAGTGTATTCTTCTGTAATATCATCTGATTAATGTAATATATGTAGATAAGATAATTGTATGTATGTGTATTTATGTAATTATGTTTGTATTTATGTGTTTATGTAATAAATAAAATAAAAATATATAAATTTATGTATATGTTCCTATATACATTCTATATTATAAAATGGAATATAATTATGCTGTGCTTCCCTGCACAGTGAATGGAATGCATACTGTGAAAGAAAGCACAGATTTGAAAAGAATTAAAATAGACTAACCAAAAACAAAAAGAGGATTTTGGGGGAGGAATAAATTTAAATGAATCATTTAATAGAATAATAAAATAAAAGGGTAGCAAGCAAAAGGCAGAAGGCAGCTCAGTTCAAACAGTGCTGCTTTTTATGCTGTTTTTCCATCCCTCCCCCAGAGCACTGGGATTGGAAGGGATCAGTTAGACCAATGATTCTCAGCCTTTTTAGCCCCAAGGCACCATCCATAACTTCTCTGAACTTTGCAGCACCCCAACTGAAAATCATTGATAGCACCCCTCTGACTTTTTTCCACCTCTTTCCTACTTGGGAAATAGGATGCTAAGAGTGTCTGAGCTGGCTAGCAGGAGAAACAGCCAAGCAGAGAGATGTATCAGACTCTGGAACAGTCTCTCACAGGAACTGGTGGAGGTCCCGTTCCATATGCAATTTAAATGTAGGTTAGACCATTGCCCCTGAGAGTGTAGGGTTCTCAAAAAGCCAGCCCTGCATTGAAAAGTCCAGTTTTACACCATTCAGCCACTGTTTCATCTCTAGTAGTTTTATCAAAATGCAAGAAGCATCCAGCAGGCTTAGCATTAAAACAGCTCTAGAGTATGAAAAACATTAATAGTTGTAACCAGTCCACAATATAATAAATACATGCGCACATGCATGTGTGCACATATGCACATACACGTAGGCGCATGCGTGTGCGCACGCGCACACACCCCCCCCCCCCCCCCCCCCCCCCTCCGGCGGGCGCACGCCAGGGCGCATAGTGTGGGAGTGTTCCAGAGAAAGTTTAATCCCGGCCATTTGTGTGCAGGCCCTGACTCGTAGCACTATCTCCCAACAGTGTGTGCAATATGGTTCCTAATTAACTGAGTGCATACTAAAGTTTCAGCAGAAGATGGTGATCATTTTGGAAGACTAGGTTGCCTGAAAAGTGACCTTGTGACCTTAGGTTCATTTGACACTCAAGAACTTGTACACTGCTACAAAGGACTCAAGAACTCTCATTTCACTTCTGCCACCGATTCATTGCATGGCCTTAAGCAAAGCCATTAGCCAGGCCTGAAAAACAGTGCCAACCCTGCCTAATTCCATTTAGCATAACAAACTGCATTGCACAGATGAGAATTCTACCAGCCTCTCTCTTTTTTAAATGGAAATAGTAACACTGGGAACACTCAGGCCCATGAAGCCAAATTAGTTCATGTTGTACAGTTGTTTGTGGTCCAGGACAGCCAGCTCACTCATTTATTCTAAGGAAACTTGGGATTCATGGCAGTTCCTGGGTCTTTGGCTGAGTCTTTGCAAACCAGGATTCTTCCTGAGATCTGGGGATACTGAGCTCGCCTTTCTTTTTGTAGCAGAGGCAAGGGGATAAGGTGGGCACAGGGTATGATGTTCTTTTTTGGATCTCTTGAGCATATTTTAACTACTTCATCTCCCTGCCAGTTACTTGGGGCCAAAAGCTTGGGCACTATTGATCTATAGTGTCTGTGTGTCCTTGTTCTCCCACTGCTTAAAAAGAAGAGTTGTTTGATGTACTGCTCATTTCAATGCACTATAATAAGGATCTAATGTTCTGCAGTACTTTTAGTGCTGGTAGATCGGAGCAGGCACTTATTTCAGATGGAGGGCCGCTTGCCGAGAGTTGGATAGGTAGCTGTGCCCCTTGACAGGTGCCCCAGCCCCCTGGTCACCATCTTGGGACCAGAAGTCCTGCCCCCTAACCTCTGACCTTTGCCACCAGAATTCCCTCCCTTTGCCCCCAGAAATACTCCTTTCAGCAAGGAGTTTTGCCATCTCAGAACCAGAAAAATACCAAATTATATTCTAAAAATCGAACATCTACAATATACATTATTTAGATTTCAAAAAATATTTTCGTCTTGATTTACATATGTTTGTGTAGTGTATACAGAGGCGATCATACAATAGCTTAAAATGAAGTCTAAATCTTGTATACTGTGGGGGGGTGGCAGAGTGCGTATAGTTTTCTTGAGGGCTATAGGTATGGGGTTTGTGGCGGGGATTTGTATGCGGGGGGAAGGGTGGCTGGGGTGTGTGAAAGGGTGTGGAGGTCTGCATGTATGGCAGTGTGTGGGGTGCATTTATGGTGAAGTGTGCTTGTGGAACTCCCCCCATGAACACATACACACACTCTCCCTCCTTCCTTCATTGCACACACACACACACACACACACACACACTCTCTCTCTCTCTCTCCCCCCCCCCCCCCCATCCCCTCGTTGCTCTCTCTGTCTCCCTCTCCTTCATTGCACAGACATGCACACAGACACACACTGTCTCTCCCTCCCTCATTGCATGGACACCCCCCCACCCCCTCCCCCTCCCACTTCTGGCCCTGGCATACAGACCCCGTGGTCCGGCAATGCAGCCAGGGGCCACGTGGTGCTGGAGGCCTGCAGGTGTGCAGGGAAGCAGGAAAAGCTGTGGCAGCCAGAGGCTTCTGGTCAGGGAAGGGGTAGGAGAGGTCTGGGGGGGGACAGGCCAACCTTGCTGCTGGGTCCTGATGGCTTCTCCTGGGTCCTACTGCCCCTGGCTCCTGTCATCTTTGACAGGCAGCCAGGAGCAGATAAATATTAATTTTCTAAACTTTTTAGGTGCCCCACAGGCCAGATAAAATGGCCTGGCAGGCCAGATCTGGCCTACGGGCCATATTTTGCTCACCTTTGTGGTAGATGGACAACTTATTTTTTTCTCTCCTTGCATTGCAGGCTGCTACACTATTTTCGAGGACGCCATCACTTGGAGGAGATCATGTACAATGAGAATATGCGCCGTTCTCAGCTGCTAATGCTTTTTGACAAATTCCGCAGTGTGCTGGTGGTAACCAACCACGAGGATCCTGTGATTTCAGTTTTTCAGTCCCTCTTGAAATGATAGCCGGGCAGAGGAGGAGGCAGCTATGCCACATTGGGTTTCTATTTAGCTTAGTTCTAATATTTTATTAATATGTATACAGACAATAAAGAGAATGGGTATCATTAATTGAGGACACTGTTCCAGCTTGTGTCATGGATGTAACGGGTGCATCCAAATAAGCGGGGACATTGGTTTACCTACAGACAAGTCGCAGTAGCACATCGTGTGCCACTGCGACTTGTCTCCAGGAAATGCCTGTGCCACACATGCTCTGGCTTATGGCAGGTTACCCCAGGTGCGTAGGAGAGGTTAGGGCCTGCAACTGTGCTGGTCCCAGCAGCCTTACCAAGGGGCTTCCTGGGGCTGCATTCATGGCAGGAAGCCTGGCCAGCAGCCAGAGTGTGGTTCCAGCTTTGGGTGGCACATGCTGCACCACCCAAAGCTGTGTACCTAGAACATGTGCCACCCCACTTTTTTTGGCATGAGGTTTTTTGACCCTGGGATCTCCTGGAGTCAGCCCCCCAACAAGCAAGGTACCAATGTGGGGAATGCCTGCATGTGAGGTGTGTAGCACTGCAGGCAGGTCTGCGGTACCACATACCCCACATCTACGCTTGTCTGGATGTGGCCAACATGTCAACTTTAGCAAGTTGCCTCCCCTCTCCAAACCCTAGTTTCCCCTTCTTGAAGAATCCAGACCTGCCAGTGTAAGGCACTCTGAATTCTGGGGATGAAAGATAATAGGTAAGTGAGAGGTAGCAAGTACTGGCTGAATGAAAAGGCAAGTGATGCTTTTCAGCTCAAATACTGCCACTGTGCAGCATTTTCCCCTTGTTCTCATTACTTAGCAGGATTTGTGTGTAGTGTGAAAGCAAGTTTTATCTTTGTCACTGAACAAGTAATGCATTGCCCCCAAGTGCACGTCGGTGCATTAAAAGTGTTTGATCTCTTTTTACCTGATGGGGAGGGGCCACATGGCACTGTATAGGTCTTGAGCTCTTTCAACTTCTGTGCACAGGCAGCTCAACAGCTGTAGCTCTATAAATGTAGGTAGCTTTGGGGGGACCTTGCTGCTAGAACCAGTGTCCCCCCT